AAAAAGGACCAATAAGAAGTTATCATTTTTATTTTTCAAAAGAATAGATTTACCTGTAGTGTACCTATGATAGAGAATATAGGAAAAGGTTTGTTGAAAAATATTCTCAAGAAAATATTTTTGAAGACTATTCATCTATTAAATTCTAGATTTTAAGAAGAAACTAGATTTCTTTTTCGCATGTAGGGATTCAGTTTGACAATATTCGAGTTTGTTTAAGAAAGAAAAACTGGCTAAATACACAGAAAGAATAATAATAATTTCCTTTCGGTAAGAGTGTTTCGTCGAACTTTATATCCTATTCGGAAAGAAGAAAATTATTTGTTTTTACTGATATTCAAACAGATTCTATTAGCTTTATTTACCATTCGAGAAATGCTCGAATTACGATTCTTTGAAAGAAAAAGGATGAAAAATTTAGATGATTTAAAATCCTAATAGATTCACTTGTGACCAGTACTTTTTAGATTAATACGATAAACTTTGTTGTCATTGGTGAACGAATTTTTTATTTTTTTGGATCATGAAAGATGTTCTATTGAATTGAAAAGTCACTAATTATAAGGTGTAAAATCATATTCGACACGTTTACACCTTGGCTCGTGCTTCAGTTGAATTGAATAGAAAACTGTAGATAGTGCTTTCTTCTTCTATCAATATATATTTGAAATGGTCTCAGTTTTATTAATCAATTTAATCGAACATGATTTTCATTTAATAAGGATTAAAAAAAATATTCTCATTCTCCTTTATTATAGAATAAAATGAATGTGATTTTCATACTAAAAGACTTAGACAGGATATATGCTTTTTCCGAATGCGATAATAAAAAAGGTTCATATCAAATATCAGTAGCGGATTTATGGATGTTGCAAAAGTGACGTTTGTCATCTCCTACCAAAGTTTTTATTTTCAGTTTTTCTCAACTGAAACGAAAACAAAAGATTGTACTAACAAAAAATAAACTTTGAAAATCGATTTTCTTTTCTCATAACCGTCATCTCCTCATTGATTTCCTAAATCCATTATTGTTAAATATATTTTCGACACTTTACTTTACAACTTAATTCTATCCTAAAAATGATTGGTAAAGTGTCACAAGTACATCCGAAAATAATCTTAAAGGTCTCTTATCTACTTACATATTGTACACTCGATTGATTTGAGAAGATTATAATTTGGATAGTCAAGAACAAAAAAAAAGAAAACGAAACTCTTGACTTGTCGTCGTAGTACGCACTTCACATGCAAGTTACATCAATCGTTTTTGCATGTATGTGCATCAGAAATTTGTAAAAATGTGATCCGAGTATTCGCTTTGGTTTTTTTTTGTTACATTAATTCAACTTCTATATTATAAAAATAGCCAGTTAAGGCAAAAAGAAAGAAACGACATGAAAATCTTTCTTCTTCTTTTTTCTTCTTTTTTTGATTCTGTGGTTAAAAAAGAAAAATTTTTTTATTCATGAGAAATCAACAAGGACAAAACTTTTCTGAAAACGTTCTTCTCATTATTATCAACACTTATTCACTTTCTCTCTATTTCTCATTTACTTCAGGCAAATTGTCCGATGAATGTAGATGGTGAGCACTTATGTTGTGAACAAGTACATGAAATACTTAACTGGAGGCCTTTTTGCTCTCTCTCTCTCTCTCTTCACTACAACAACGAACGCCTGTCAGAATGTCTGTATTACTGTTGTTGTTATTATTGTTATTGTTGATGCACACCATTTTAGTTACTTGCCAATTGTAAAGTATGTTACTCTTTCAAATAGATGTAAAAACGTTTTTCAATGTTTTTTTTTATTAAATTAAAATGCACAATTTTTAATGTCTATGTCACGATTTAAAACGGTTAAAATTACAAAAAAATCAATACTTTTCTTTTTCTTCTTCTTCTTCTTCTTTTCTCAAGATACTTGAAAATATAGTCAAACAAGAGATCAGTGAAAGAATTAATTTTTTTTCTCTTCTTGCTGATCCCTAAAGGCTTCCGTATATGATGAATAATGATATGACAAAGAGAAGTTGTTTTCTTTTCATTTGATGACAATTGTCACCTTTTGTAGTTTCAAATCGAATTGAACAAAAGAAGATATTTTTTCAATCATATGTTGATCTTCTTTTAATTTGCTTTTAATAATTAAGATTATTATATGAGTATTGTGAGATTTTTTGGTACAAGGGCCGATTTTGACAGATGTTAGAAACATATATATATATAGATGTATGTCAACAATAAGTATCAATAAAAGTATTGGCAAACACTACTTCATTGAAGATGACTTATTCTGCTGTTTTTGAAGAGATTATGAATATATTGGAATTACAAATATTCAAGATTGTTTTTAACTTAGACTTGAAAATAAGTTGATGAAATGAAGAAAAGAAAAACAAAATCAAATGATTCATTCGGAAACCAATTCAAATAATACATTTAATTATTCATAAAAGAACTTATTCATTTCTTTCAATGTGAACTATGTTTCATACAAAAATTGTTATGATTTGTCGCTAGTTTTTTTTCTTTTTGATTGAAACTTAATTTTCTAAACAATCGATATCAATGTTAATTATTAAAACAAGAACAATTTTTGATTTTTGAATAATATATTTATGATTAAACTATAAATCTATATTATTATTATTTGCTACAAGATAAAATTTTCGATCTAATGGACTTTCTAATTAAACGTAGATAGAATTTGATGGTTGCACAACATATTTATTGAAACATAATATATCTTGATGTATTGCAAAAAGAAAAAATTAAATATTTTATTACGATTTACTACTGAAATTTTAGTCTGTTTAATGAATAAAATATAATTGTATAAATAATAGCTGACAGGAACGTGACGATACACTTAATATTCAACATTGAATTTGCATAATTTATAAAAGCAAGAAAAAGAAAGGAAGAAAATATGAATTGATTTCGATTATGTTTTATGAGTTTTTACTCTGTCGATGTAATCGACAGGGTAGGAAATTCTTCATAGTATTCAGTTTGATTTTTAAGAACAATTCAATAGGCTAAATTTGATTTAAAATTATGATTTGAATAATAATTCTTCGAAATTTCGCAAAATACAAATTGTCTATAACACATAATCATAATTACATGTTATTCTTGTTGTTACGTATTCTAATAAACAAATTTGATTAACACACTGAATACCCACATATTCGTCCGTAAAATACAGTACATAGTAAAAAATGACATTAACGATTGACGTATATGGTTTTTGATTTTTGTCTATCAACATAAAAAGAAGTAAGATGTAAAAAGTCATCCTTGACATTGAAATGAAAAAGAACACTACAAAGTTTGAAAAATCATATCTAGGTGTGATACATGTACAAAAAAAAAATTTCAATTGTCTTTTTTTGTTCTTTTAAAAGAACAAATGTTCATAATATAAGAAAATCTTAGGCAAGTAATGATCTACATGGAATTTTAGAGTATAATTAAATTTCTTTTTTGTTATTGAACCTATTAATTCTATTAGGAACTATTAATGTTTATAATTACTACTTCAATAAACGTAATTTATTAAAAAGAAAATCAAATTTTATAATAAATTATATTATATGCAGAATTGAACAGGAATTTTCTAATGATCATTTAAAAAAAAACTCAACTCTGCAATTTTGGTAGTATTATATATGATACTTGGTTGTTAGCGGTGATATCTGTGCAAATAATTAGTTGTTCGTTCGTTTCTCTTGGTTTTTGTTTGTTGTCGTTATCATCTTCTGTGTGAAAAGATGATAACGATAACAGACAAAAAACAAGATAGATCATTGACCATCTAGTTATCTGCTAGGACATCACCGCTAACTACTAGGTATCATATATGATATTCCGTAGCTAATGGAATATAATACGGTAAAACTCATCTATTTATTATACAGAAATTCCTTTTATAGTACGATCAAATAAATATTAGTTTTTCAAACTGTCAGGAATGTTCCGAGTGAGGAGACCCCCTCCTAATCGTAAAAAGTTTTCGTTTTACTCCCGCCGAGTTCTAATGTTTTATTATTTTCTTTGCTTATCGATCCTTAAAAACGGATCCTTACTCCTCAACCTTGACAACCTCGAGACAATTCTATAGACAGATCTTTAATTCTTGTAATTTTTTTTTCTTAGGATAAAATATGATTCGATCGATTGTTAAGCAGAATAATGCTATGAAATGAGATTTTTAGCAATAATAATATTCTTTTATATGAATAGCTAAAAGAACAATATTTATTGAGGGTAATCAATATATATATATATGATAATAAGCCATAAACTTTCGACAACACTATACATATATTTCTGTCATAGATCATAGAAAACAAAAATCTTCATAAAAGATTTGATAAATAAATAGAAACACTTTTGTTTTTTTAAGACATATTTTTGAAATCAAATTTTAATTGTGTATATATGTTAGTGTAAGATTTCATTTTTAAGCCGATTTTAAAGTATGATTGCATTAAAAAAAGAAGTGTTTTGAGTCAACTTTTTCTCTTCATAATAAATATAAACTTTGGTTGCTAGTTCTTTTAAATTCAAACATTGCCCACGATGAATTCCTTCTTATAAGTTTCATAACTGTTTGATTAACATTCAAACTTATAGTCAATTTTTTTTCTTTTCTATATATATTTTTTTTTCATTACTTTTTGTTCTTTGTTGTGGCATCGTCTATTTTCTTTTGTTATAGGGAATGAAACTTTTTTCTTTTTTTTTTTGAAAATTTTTTCTCATTTTCTTCCGTTGTCGTTAAGTAAGAGAATAAAGAGAATACTGTCGATGTTTGCAACCGAACGGAGAGAAAGGGGCATCCGTTATTGTGATGACTGTGACATACGTATCACTGTTTGTGCATGTTAATCGTTGTTAGCAACAACAACATCATAGAACATTTTACAATTTCTGACCTTCATAGATATCTGTGTGCTTGTAATCTCAACATAGTAGACAGAGATTAGATCGAACGATGATCGTTCAATCGACACCAGTCATATTAAAACAACGAAATCAAGTTAATCGAGAATGTCTTTATGCATGGTATCCAGAAGTTGTAACAGATACATCAATAACAACACCAATGGGACCACGCGATATTTATATTCATAAAGGAATCGACAAAGATCTTATACAACAAAATCTACCAATAAATGGATGTAAGATTAATATTGAATATTTTAACTAGGAACATATATTGATGAAGTCAAATGTGAAGAACAAATGAAAAATTCATTACATTTTTGTTTTTTGATGACTATTATTTTTTTCATTTTTATTCTTCTAGTAATCAATGGTTGTAATAATAATAACAATAGTAATAATGAACTTCTACAACGTTATGGACAAAGTATGGTATCAAGTGAACGCATCTATCATTCAGCAGAAACACTTGATGAAGCATTAAGAACACCATGGGCATTACATTATGAAATACAACGAAGACCAGCAACACCAAATCCACCATCACATTCTACTAATAGTATGTAAAAATAAAAATATTGTTGTTAGACAGCCCTATAAATACATGAAGCAGATGTTTTGTGTCAAAAAGTTATTCTTTTCTTGTTTTTTCTCAGGTTTTTTTCAAAAAGATAAAAAATTGTTTAAATAATGAATATACAGGAAATTATCTATTTCATATATATTGATGATCTTTTGACAATATTTCTATTCATACAGCATGCTTGTTTTTTCTTTTGTTGAACTTTTATACTAAATCAAATTCTTTTTTTTTTTGCAAACATTTCATCATAAAAAGAAAGTAATTCAATTAATTCAATTTCATTTATCGCATTGCTATATATAAAGATAAAGTTTTGATGATTTTGAAGTATTTTATACCATTATGATTATAGTCAAGTCATAAGAATCATAGAGGATTTTACATAAAACATAAGCCTTAAATTGGATATTTTTCCAGTTCGGAAATGAAGATTATTTTCAATAATTCATAAAAATACAACGAATAGATCTATAATTAAAATTGAAGAAAATCAAACGTTCATTTATATAATTGATATTTATTTAATATGATTATTTCTAATAATCAATTAAATTTATTTGATATTCATTTAATCAATAAAAACTTTATAAAAATCATCAACAATATTGATTCTATATTTCTTTTTATATATTATTTTTTGTATTGATCTTTCATAATTTTCTTCCGCTTGACAAGTATCTATCAAACAAATAGTTATTTCTTTTCTTGTTTCTTGTAGCTACACGTGAAGAGATGCCACGTCGTTTGAAGAGTGCTCCAGTTGTTCGTTCACTTCCACTAGCATCCATTCTTACAGTTCCCGAACCACGATTTATAACTCCTATTGTTCCAGTTACAACAAATGAAATACCACGATCACCATTATCAACAATACCTCGAGTTCGAGCTTCATCAGCTAAAGCACGTCTTAATACAACATTTCCTATTTGTAATGAATCAATAGATGATAATATAAAACAACAACATCGAGAAATTAAATCAGCTCAAGGTATTCGATCAAATGATGAAACAAAATTATCCGATGAAGAAAATCAAAAAAGTTTTACCCTATTTTATTCTGATGGTGTAATGCAACAGCAACAACAAGAACCACCATCTACTCCTCCAACACCGCCACTACCTACAAATGTTTATAAAAAATCTGTTAATTTTTGTCCTCCGAATGAACTACCATCAACACCTGTCAATAAAAAACTTCTTCGTACGAAAAGCGAATATAGTTCTATTCCTCCTAATTTACATTATATTCATCGTCCAGGTGTTGTTTCCGTAACAAATATTGATAAACCACCTATAGTACGAGAAAATTCAGCATCTAGAAAAACAAATAAACATAATCGACGACATCATCATCATCATCATCATCATCGTGAAAAACGACATGAACCATTACTTGCTCTAACACCTATGTTACAATCAACAAAATTACCTGTTGAATTTGATGGCATTAAATTAATATATGATTCATCATTAACATTAGATGATCCATCATTAAATTTAACAAAATATTTTATTGAAGGACGTCTATATTTAATCAAAGGTCAATATTATAATGTTTTTGAAAATATTGATCCAAAAATGATTGAAAAATATAATGAAAATTTAACGTAAGTAAATTTTTCATAGACAAAAAAAGAAACGTTTTTTTTGTTTTTTTTTTCTTTTTTATCTAAGTCTTCCTCAACGTCCAAAATATTATCAAACAATACCAGTTGAGAAATTTCAACTACCTAAACCACCACCAGAATTACATTATAATGCATCAGAAACATATTTTTATAATACATTACCAAAACGTTCACATCGTTATGTAGTTGACCCAAACTTTATTTCAGAAAATCTTAGTGTTAATAAAATCTCTATGTTAAAACGACCATTAACACCAACTGTTGTTCATTCAACAATTAATGATATCAATCGGCAACAAAAAACACCAACAACTGTTTATACTTGAAATATGAATCAAGAACTGATATAATTATTTTTTTTTTCTTTTGTTTTACTCTTGGTGATCTTTTCTTTTTTTTTTCTCGTGCCATTTGTATAATACAAAAAAAAACTAATTAACTGTTTTCGTTTCCATTACTATTATTATGTCGTTAAAAAGATGATTGCTGAAAACATATAATAGTTGGAAACGGAAGGAAGAAAGTGAGGAGATTACTGACATCCGTTAAATATATCTGTCGTAATATAATAATATTTATAAAGACGTATATATATCTATGCTCGTCTTAACGTCATCATCATCATCATGATGACAATGACAATGATGATAATAATGATGACAGAAATTATATCGATGATGAATGCACAAAGTTTTAGTCTTTTACTTTTTTATAATTTTTTTGACGTCACTTAATATTTTATTCTATTTTTTATTCTATATTTTCTAAGCGAATAAAGAAAAGCTCTCTAAATATAGAACATACTAAGAATAAATCTTTCTGAATATATACTATAGATAAAGAACGAGACTAGATAATTGAACATAGAAAATGCTCATTCTTTTTTTTGTTGTCGACAGTCATTGTTAGTTGCCCTCTTACCAGCATACGCGAAACAGCACTCGAGCAAAAACTAAGAGTAGGAAAAGATGAAGAAGAAAAAATGAGACGCAAGAACAATAAAAAACAGATGCCAACGATATACGACTAGATCTATCAAAAAAAAAACCGTGAAGAAAAGAGAGAACTATTGATTAGAAAAAGTATGTGGATAAAAATTGAAAACCTTGCTCTAGTACATGTATCTGCCTACTTATTAGAACTGCATAGACGCCTAATTCTTCAACATCAATAATAATTAACAATGAAAATTCTTTTGAACTTGTAGTGCATAATTAGTAGGCACATCATTGAGTAGCAAGAATTTACGCAAATTAATTTCTATACCCTCAATGCTCTTTTCTATTTGCTTATCTATTAGATAGTAAATAATTAAAAACGAGAAAAAAAGCAGCGTATATTGATGTTTACATTACTAGATCTAATATTCTTCTTTTGTTTAGTATTCTATCATCAGAGAAATCAACATCGATCAAGGTACAAAAATAAGGCTTGACTCATTAATTCATTTATTTTGTCTCCCGATAGATTGCATGAATTCGTTTGAACTTCGCCCTACTAAAAACTCATATTAATAGATATAAGTTATTATATATAGTTGACTAAACAAGAATATGCGTACTACATAGATCCATCTAAACATCTATTCAAATTATTATTATTCATTTTGTTTTGTTCATTTCACCTCATATAAGAACAATATTCTCTTATTCTTTCATAGAAAATTGTTCGGTTTGTGTTTTATTGATAATTTCAAAAACATAGAAGTATGAAAAAAAATAGTTTGTTTCATTTTACGTTGTAGATAAATAAACTATGCACTTATATAAAGAACACTCATATCATTTGACTTGATCACTCGAAGGTATGCCATTAGGCACGTATATATATCATGTCAATGCCTTCAGTTAATTGAAACTAAGAGAGACTACTGATAAAGAAGATGCATATAAAAGAATACATATGGTTTCTATTCAATTAAAAAAAAACTAATCTTTGTTTTGTTTTTCTCTTTTATCCATAGATATTTCTACTTGTATCGGAAACATAGTATGTTTCATTTTCCTCATATGTCTTGTAAATTACATTGTAAGATTTTAATTTGCATACTGCTTGCATTAATAAGAACTAATAGAAAATAAAAGACAGCATTCATGTTCGATTATTATTGTACAGTGATTATTATCGAGTATTAGTAAGTAAATAAATATTATAAGATATTTCTTATTAGTTTTTAATAATTAACAAACGATAATTAATAAAGACATGTATGAAATTTGTTTTTCTTGTCTTTGTTTTGAGAGAAATAATTATCATTAATTGAATCAAAATAAATGAAAGAATTTTTTTTTTTCATAAATTTTCTTTTGTTTCCTAAATATTGATTTTATAGATTTTTATTATATTAATATATTTTATATTTCTTACAAATAATCAATTATCATTGCAAGATAAAGCAAAGAAAATTCAATGATATCCGTTATTCAAAGGAAGGTATCTTCATTTTTTTATGTTTGTTCAACATTATCATTTTCTTTTTATCTTCTTCTTAAAAGATTATAAATTAACGACGGCACATTCATCTATTCATCCTTGACAAGTATTAGTATAAAAATGTTGTTTTGCGCTTCTACTCGCACTGAAATAATGATATAAATGAAAGCAAAAATACATTTGTATCAACAGTAATTTGAGATACGACAGATTTTTTTTTGACACATACACTATTTATTTTCGATTATATATATTCAACATTATTATTGACTATTTTTCTTTTTTTAGATTAATATTTCGTAATTTATTTAATTTAATGCTAAAGAAGGAAAAAAAAATAAGAAATATTCTTATGCCTTAATTGTGTAAGTTTAAGTTAAAAATAAGAATATTTAATTGTTTGTTTTGTTTAGTATTTTATCATCAGTCTCTTATCATAGAATAAAAAAAAAACTAGCTCTTCATGATGTTGTCTTCTGATGATAGAATTCATATTGTTGATAGATAGATAGAAAACCATCATACAGATTTCTATATCAAACTAATCATTACAGATTATCACAGTTGATTTCTCTAAACTAATTTTTTCATGCAAGTAAAAATAGTAAATTAGTACATTTTATTCTCAATAGTATAGAGAAAACATTAGATTTAATATTGTTTTATTCTTAGTGACAAAAAATGAATAATGTATTATATATATATAACGACGAGAAAATGAGATAGTGATAGAATATGCATATTTATCATAAAAATAACATTTATAGCTTTGAGGACAGATTTAGATGAATTATTTTTCTTTTGCTCGATTAAGCACAAAAGAAAACTTTTTGTTCTTTTTTTTTCTTCCTCAAAGGAAGTATTTTACAGCCTATAATACTTGAATGAAATGAATTCGTTGGTTTTTTTTTCTTAACTACAAGGCATTACAAAGAATTAATTAAGAAAAAAAGCTCATTTCAGTTTTTATAGTCTAAAATTAACTTTATTTGAAAGAAAAAAAAAGACTAACATAAACAAGATATTAATAATAATGAGCTTTTTAAGGTAATTATTTCTTTTTTCTAGCGATAGTTGTTTCTTTAAAAAAATTTAAAGAACTCTTTATATATATATATGTATGCTTTGCTTTTACATTTTGAGTCGATATAAGCTTATGTTGAGGTGCTCGGACATAGTGTTAATTAAAGGCGCACAGAAATTTTCGAGTGATGACGCATGTCAAGCTAGCCTATAAAATATTTTCTAGAAAATAAATTATTACTATAAATAGAGAGAGAGAGAGAGGAAAAAAAAGAAAACTATTCTCAATTGAGTTATTTATCATTCTAATAATGATCAAATATTTTTACGAAGTAATTCGAGTAGACAGTATAATGAGAACGGTAGAGCTAATCTCTGTATAAAACATGAACGTTCGACCTTCCATTTCCGGAAGAACGGTAAGTATGATGTAAGAATCTTTTACTAACATGTCATTCTCGTCAGGTCTTTTTCTTTTGGCTCTTCATATTTATAAGCTGAATTGATCTCATCTTATCCTGTTTATTAACATCGTCCAACCGTCTTCTAAATCAAATCATATAGATGAGGCGATAAATGATGTGCTCTCAGTTTTCTGTCGATTCTTTTCGATGCCGGAATAATAGTAGTTGGCATGAGAATGTGTCCGTCAATGCTTTGACAATAATCTATACACTTCATAGAGCAGAAGAGAAAAAAAGAAAGAAGAACAGAGAATAGTCGAGTACCAGAACTCATCATGATGCTATTTTATAAGTATCCGTTGATGGGTAAGAAAATGTCATTCTAAGATGAATTTGCATGTTTTTTCCCTATATTTTTCAGCTACGACATGCTATAGGCAAGTAAAATGAAATATTTGGAACGTTACACGCTATGAACATCTACTTAGCATAAGGAATAGAAGCCTGACTCATATATCTTGTAGCTAATTCGAGCACATTAGATTCGCTTTTAAGGAAACAGGAAAAAAAAAAAAAAAAAGGGAAGAACGATCGAAATCCCAACAGACCTATACGCATTCATCTATATAGCTACAAAATAACGAATAGAAAATAAAACTGGCAATAGAATTGTTTCAGTATAAAGACTGACTCTATTTACATATCTCTAAGGAAATGTAAGAACTCGAACGAACGGAAAAGAAATACATAAAAGAGAAACAACTAATTTTGATTAATTGTAGTTGAAGCCTCTTGAGAATCAAGTAAGTTTTGAACAAATTCGTATTTTCTTTTGTTTCTAATACTAAAAAAATACAATGAAAACAAAAAAATAAATGAGAATTATTATGATCAATACTTGAATGATTTTTATTTATGTGTGTTTTATATTAATCAAATGGATAGAATATCATTTATTCAATATAAACTAACCATTCAAACACAACACAACACATGTTTCGTTTCTTTTTCTTTTGAGTTTTCTTATTTGTCTAATTCTTTTTCTGGCAAAAACAAAAAAAAAAGAAAACCTTGTGTCAGAACGAGAGCCATTACATATGTCGCTCGACAGTTTTGTCACTTTTGTTTTGTCGTTTATTGATCGACGGCCAAATATGCAGACGTGTTAGCTAAAAAATGATCGTGCGAATGTGTTTCTCTTGAGATTTATTTGAAGAAATAACTATACAACATAGACATAGATTTCAGGGAACCATAATCAATCGATCATCGTACGTGCAAGTCATTTGTTTTGTTATTGATCTTGATTTATTTTGCCTTTTTTCTTTTTAAGATAAAGAGAAAAAAAAGAGAAAATCCTATGATGAAAAACTAAAATGATAACAATAATCATATTAACAACAACAACGACGATATGAACTATGAATACAACAACAGAAACCATTGATTTTAAATATAATATTATAAAACGATCAGCTCCAGATAATTTTGGTTCACAATTAAGAGATTTTTGTAAAGATTTTCGTCTTTATGCAAGTATTATTCTTGTCATTGTTGGTAAATATAAAATCTTATGAATAAATGAAATTTCTTTTTTTTTTGTCATGTTTTTTTTTTCTTTCGTATAGGTATGATAGGTTCTTTACTTTCAATAAAAGTATTTTCATCAACAAAAATTCGACGAAATTCATCTAATGAATATCTTATTACAAGTAAAGAATATTTTGTTTAACAAATGTGTTTTTTCTCAAGAGAATCTTGATTTTTATTTGTTTTTGAATATATAGTGAGCTTTGTTGTGGCTTTACTATTATTTAATTTCTTTTGTGATGAAATACTTCGATGGATTGTAAATGATTTTAAAGTTGATTTACCATTAAACCTTGTTGATTTATCTAAGCCACTCTGCAAATGTAAGTAAAATTAATTTAATCTGTTACTTCAACAAGTATTTGTCCTTCAAATAATCAAAAAATGCGTTTTAATGAATCGTGAAAATATAATATGACCTTGTCCACGTATGATAACATTCTTAGGTTGAACTTTATGTTTAAAGATCATGTTGCTGTTAAAAAAGCTTTGCTACAGAGATTATTAGACAATGTAGCAGAAGTCGATTTTGACATTTCCTAATTATTTCTTACTATTGAAGAACACTTTTTTTAAACGAAGGCCATGACGCATAAGCAACAGAGTATATTAAATTCTAGAAATAGTCCAGATGCTCTTCTAAATTTTCTTTAGAAAAAATCTTTATCGTCAATTTTGTGATAGTTTAAACGATTTCTTATGGTTTGTTTTATTGAATTGTTAATATTTAAAACAAATGCAAGTTTTCTTTAATGAAATACTCAACTTTTTTGCTTCGATATCACGCACAATATTATATCGTTTGGTTGTACGTAATTTATAATCAACGGAAAACTTTTATATTTACAATTAGTTAAAAAAACAATTGTGCCCTAGATAAACACTATACTTAATCATGGATCTTAATAGAAAGAAGAAGAAAAAAACATTTTATGCAAGTATAGATAAGTTAGTGTACTTTATATCACTATCTTTGAATGATTAGAAAATAAACTATTGAATGCAAGAAAAAAAAATACATATGTTAAATTATAGTTTTTAATAAATTGAAATTTAACAAAAGCCAAAATAAAAATAAAGAAGTTTTGTTAAGTTTTCAAAAATGACTATTCTACAGTATATATGTGCCTATCAACAATCGCAAAAGGTTCTTTTATACATCATTCAGCTTAGTTTTTAGGTTTTTCTTTTCTTTTTCATGATTATTTTTGACCTTTTCATGACATTACATAAAATAGCTAATAAAATGGCAAATAGACTTCTCTATGGGATCTTTTTTTTAATAATCTCATCTTCTATGAGCATCAAATTATCCAGAATGCACATTTTGTGACTTTATATCTTATATTATTACTTTTTTTTTTATGTATGTATCAATTTTGGCGTTTAAAACCTTTGAAGAAACAAGAAAAAAGATAATGACCTTAGTTATTTAAGAAATATTTCTTTGATGATAATCTAGTCTGTATACATATTTTCTTGCATTCAGCTTCATATAGCAAAAGCTTGTTTTCATATTTCTCATTATGAAGTTTCTCTTTATACTCATACACAAACAGTTAATTAGAGAATTTTTCTAGTGTAAGAACATAAAGGTTACATATGCTTCAGTTGTTAAAAGAAAAGAAATTCTATCTTTAAATATATATATATTCTACTTAGTAAGAGATTTTCATGGAAGTAGTTGCGCTGTCATTCTGAATATTTTCTAGTAGAAATAGATAAAAACAAACAAATTGATACAATATATTTGATTGACTTCAAAATATGGCTTGACACCATATAAACGCCATATCTATTGATTCCGATTTGTTAATCAAATAACACATACACGAAACCACTGAAAGGAAAACAATTATCTAGAAACTAATAGATACATAACAAACTTATCACGAAGTACTATTTCGATAGTTCATAAACAAACAATATAGAATAGAAATTGATATCATCAAGGACAACAAGTAAAAATTTTGTACTCTACAAGTACATTAAAGTTATTCTCGAGATATTCTTAGCTATTTCAAGTCTACTATGAATATATATTACCAACATATCAGTTTTCAGTTTCTTCTATATAGATGTTTCTGATAATAAAGCTCAAATAAATCATTGTACTTCACTGATACTCAAACGTTGAAGTACGATGAAGTGCTTAAGATTGATTACCGGATAGACTTATTTAAAATAAGATTAAACTAATATGTTACTGACGTATGTTGATAGAAGACTTAAAATAACTAATAAATTCTAGAGAATAACTTTGGCATACTCTTGAAATACTCTCAAGTACGGAATTTTCATTTTGTCTCCCCTTAAATATCACATAACAGAAACTGAAGTTTTGAAAATAAAAACTGTCTAGAAAATATTTGACTGTGGGTATTACTCTTTAAACTAGCAATTAAAGATTGATTTTTACTACTAACATAGAACATCATTTATGTTTAATATTTAGTAGAATAAAATAATATATTTTTCTAAAAAAAGTTAATTTCAATTAAAGACGACTTTTTACATTTATCAATAGGAAAATAATACAATTAAAATTTCTATGACTTATAAATTTACTTTCATTGTATTTACGTTGTTAATCTAGAATAACTTTGAGCACTAATTAAAATCGAATTTTATAGATTATTTTGATTAGCATTGTTCCTTTCAATGCACGAGGGCATAAGACAGAGAACGATAAATCTAAATCTATTCGGATAATCTAGTTCTTAATTTCATTGTAAATATCGGATGTAGCAGAATAAATGAGTCTCTTAGTATTATGAGAATATCTCTCTCAACTTATGACGTATATGCTTGAATCTTTTTTCAAAAGATAGTCCGTACAATACTCTACAAAACTTTATGAAAAGAGCTCTTCGAACGAATAGCTATGAAATTATATCCGATCAACATATTACAATACTTCAAAAATATGGCTCATTTTCATATTAACGGTTGTGCGCTACTTTTTGAACCAAATGTAAAGAGACTGAATATGTCATTTTTTGTAGCTCATGAAAATTTCTATCAGTTCAGCAAGTTCTTGTTATGTTAAATGGAAAACTATTGCATCTTCAGATTGATTACTTAGTTGAAAGAAAATATTTGTTCTATTATGTCTATACGAGCAGAATGTTGCAAAGTGAACCTTACAATCGTATTCCAATGGCTTCTTTTGAGTTCTGTTACAAAATAGTATACTTGAAAACATGGAAAACTTGCATTTGAGTATAATCTCGTATCTGTTTTGTTAGAAGAAGTGAAATCATTAGTTCTATAAAAATACTCATATGCAAGTGAACACATTTTGGAGCATGGTAATGTTGACTGGATGTAATTCCATAGCTATTTGTTGGAAGAATTCGTTTCATAAGATTTTATAGAATATTACATGGGCTATCTATTGAAAAAGATTCAAGTATATACGTTACAATTTGAGAGAAATATTTTCAAAATACTAAAATGGTAATTTATTCAACCACATCGGATAATATTGAAATTCTTCGTTGACACAATAGAGCATTTTTCTTTTTGATAGGCTCAACTTATTTTCGTCATTCATTACGTTTTGCTGCTAATTGGATCGTTGTTGCATTTACATTAGAACGTCTTATTGTTGTATATTTTCCTTTACAAACATCTGTATTGTGCAATCCACGTAGTGCTAGACGAATATGTTTATTTATACTAATTATTGCATCTTTATTAACAATTTATTCATTTATTATGTCCGATATAAGTAATGATGGAAAAAATCATATATATGAATGTGATATAATGCAAAAATTTCAAACAATTTATCTTTATTTAACAATTATTTATGGAAATTTAACATTAACATTTCCTATATTGATTGTTTGTGTCGTAAATATATTAATTGTTCGACAGTTGTTACATGCTGCACGTTTACGAAAAAAACAACAACAATTAAGTCAAACAAAAAAAGTTGATAGTGCAAATAATGAATATGTAAATATGATTGTTAAAAATCAATTAGAAAATGATAAAGTTACATGGATGCTTGTTGTTATATCAGTAACATTTGGTATATTAAATTTTCCACATTTCATTTTTTGGTTAGTTTTTTGTATAATGCGCGTACGCGGTAAAACTCCATCCGTATATATCGAATCAGGAAGAATGGTTGGAGATGTTTGTTATTTACTTGGTTATAGTTTAAATTTTTTTCTTTATGTTATATCAAGACGAAGTTTTCGTAAAGTTTTAATTGAAAAAATGCGATGGCGTTGTGATTGCTTTGAACAATGGCGTTTAAATGAAATGCGTCTTGATGCAGCAATACGTTCTCACCAAATGCCAAGACAAATAAACATACGAAATGGAAATGGAAGTGCGAATATACCAAATCCAGATGAGCATCTGTTTGATAACTTATCTCGGTAGTGCCACTGTTATTTCTGCTATAAACATTGGTGCTATTGAAATCATTTTGCGAACCTCTAATATCAATGGGAACATTATTTACAAAAAAAAACAATTACGTCCTAATTCATTACATCATTTACTAGCATTACAAATAATGATAAATGGTGAGCAATTAATTAAGAGTAACAAGGATACAAAAAATTGTTTGATAACATCTAAAAAAACAGCTAAAATATATCCTTGTCAATATGCAAATATTATTTGAATGATGGACTCTATTATGTGATGATGGATGCTTACTTTTATTTTTCATTCGAATGTATTTGTAATTAATTCATGTGTGCTCCCATTATGTTTACAATGGTTTTCTTTTCTTTTCTTTTTTTTAATATATTGATTAGGTAGCGTGTTTTTTTTCTCTTTGATAAATATAAATTGGTCAATGCCAGTTTACTAATAACTGACAATATTAATACGAATATCTAGTGACATATATGAAAAAATACGTCATCTGTAATGTAATGGAAAATATAAACATTTGAACCAAAAGAGTAAAGAAATCCATTTTTTAGATTTATTACTTTACTATATCGAGTTCTTAATTTAATGAGAGAGAATAAAATGATTAATTTGTTTATTTCACAGCAACAAATATCTTTTTAATTGGCCATTCCAATTAATAAGACACATATATTCTTTTCAATGACATAATTTATCTTCTGACAAATAGAAAATATAATTTGTTAGTATTCGTAAAAGAAACAAGAGTCGACAAGCAAGAAATTGAATACATATTCGTCAATGTTAATTTGTTAATGCTTCAGCGAACATCAATGTCAAACAAGTCTTATTCATTCATTCATTTCGTATTACAAATAAAAACAAAATATCTTCCTTATTTCAAACAGTTAGTGTTATAACAATAAATGTACATATTTAATAATCATATTACTGACCTTTAATTCATAAAATAAATCCAGAAAATGTTTTGTTTACTATACATAATAGTTTATATTTTACTCTATAATATGCTCTTAATTTAAGATTCGATTATATACTTCATCAAATGTAATTTGTACGCTAACACATTTACATTAGTATAATGGAACAACAAACAAAGGATAAATCTCGGATAATTTATCGTATTGATAAAAATAGATTTATTAAAGTGTGAATGTCAGAGTTTACTGATTCAAAAAAAATTGCAAACAAGAACCCAATCAAAATTGTTTAATCATCAGATACATATATACAAAAATTCTTAAATCTATACCGAAAAATCTTCACTTTTAAGATTATAGATTTTAGTATGTATATATTATATTTAAAATTTTCTTATCTACATGATGATGTAACAGTTTTGGTTCCATGTGATATTATGAGAAGCAGAGCAGAATCACATTTTTCTTATTTTTAGTAATCGGAACCGGAGCCGGAACTATGGTTCCTGTTCCGGGTGATTTTTTGCAACCGCTGAGCTGTAGTATTTGTGAGTAAAGACAAGATTGACATTCACACCCAAACTAGTTCTCGATAACCGGATTTGTAAGAAAAGCATTTCAAAATACAAATTGTACAACAAATTTACAATTCATTCATATATATTGAACAATAGACATAAGAAACAGACCGAGCAGATCAAAAGAAGAATATTTTAACCATTCCATTCTAAAAATGTCTTACTGCGAATCAGTATTTTGCCTTTGTTTATTTTTCTATTCACTTCTTGCATTCGAAATGTATTAAAATTATATATTCTGGCCTCTATATTTATGAATTGAACGACATAAATTCAATAGGAAGTTTATAAACAAGTACTTTTAAAAGTCACCGATTGTTTACAGATTTGTTTATAGTAAATTTTAAGACAAAATAAAAATCTGTTAAATTTTACATGCTGTAAGAAAAGAAAACTTCTGAAAATATGACTTTATTTATTTTAATGATAGATATGCATTGTTGTTTTTTCTAGCCACGCGCAATATAATTTTATTCATATTAAAATGAATTTTATTTTCTTAGAATTTTTCTCATTTTTTTTCAATCTATTCTGGCTTATTATTTATCAAAAAAATATTTTTTCGATTCTTATAACGATGAATATTCTTCTCCTACAGAATCAGCTTTTTTTACTTCATCAATTATTTCATCTAAGCAACAATATAATAAAAAAATATCGACAAAAGGGTAAAGAAAAAAAGAAAAACAAATCATAATCACGACTTTAGTCTTTATCTATAAACAAAAGAAACTTCAATTATAGGCAAACGAATTGTTCAAATAATACAGTCAATAATTCAAGAAAGAAAAAATTATCCAAGTGAATATCACAGGTTTTAAAATAAAATAAAAATAAATATTGATTTCATAGAGATAATTTAATTGATACAAAATTTAATCAAAAAATTTTACTATTTAATTCATTGCCACAAAAATTAACCAATAATTTAAATGCAATTCAATCAACACCTACTACGAAATCTATTGATTTCGAATCACATAATAAATTGTTACCTGATACTAATACACAATCATCAAATTTAACTTTAATCGAGTATATAAATGTATTCATTCAATTTAAAATTTAAAAGAAAGAATTTTTTCTTTCAGACAAAAAGAAGTTCCATTTTATATCGATAATTCAATGAATATTGAACCAAATTATAATGATTCTAAATCATTTATAAAAAGTTCCTATCGAATTCCAAGTCCGACAATTCTTCTACCCGGAGAATTTTCAACATCATCAAAACCTATTAAAAATAGTAATATGATTATTAATAAAGTTCAACGATCTATGCCAATTGATAGTAATCGAAATTTGTAAATGAATTTTTTTCTCGTCATTAAAAAATAAAACAGAAATCTTGTTTTTCTTTTTTCCTTTTAAATAACATTATTTAGATTAATATTTAGTCAACCAAATTCATTTCATTTAAATATTCATGCAATTAATAATACAGAAGAATTTATATCAAATTCTGATAAAATTTCAACATCAAGTTTAAATAGTTTGAGTCTTATTCAAACATTATCATCACCACAACTTCCATTATCTAATACAACAATTAATCCTCAACAATTACCAACATTTCATTTTGAAAGATCTAATACTCATAAAAGAGGTCAAGATAGTATTTTATCAGTTCAACAAATCTTTCCAACGAAACAATCATCTGTAAAACTACCTGAATTTATTGATAAACAAATAGTTTCAAATACATATAGTCCTAGTCCAACAATATCATGTATGTAAAATGAATTACTGATAACTAATCATTGCAAAGTCGAGACTATGTGCATCATGTAATTCCTAATGAGCTATGAGTGTCTGGAAAAATGTTTAAGTCCTTAGCTTGTTGTTGTATAGATACTATGTTTTTACGGGTTATTTTCTACGTCTATGTTGTAGTCCACATCCACCTCAGGAAAATTCATATTGGAATTTTCAATTGAAACTTTGCACAAAAAGAGATTTTAACAAGAAGAATATATTGACAAATTTTCAGGTCTTTTCATTAATTTCAGAATAAGCATAAATCAAAAGATCTTCTTTTTTGTTGTAAATTCATTTTTGTGAACAAAAAAAAAAGGAAACAAGAAATGTTGATCATTCAGCAGTTTAATTTGAATTTTTTGTTAAATAATTGTATTAGAAAAATATATTATAGTATCACAAATGGGAAATGATATTGTGAATGATTTTCATAGTAATCCAATGTCAACTTTTTCACCAGATTTTGAATCATCACCATTTCAATTATTTCGTAATAAAATAGATAATGAAAATATTCACTTTGAATTTGAAACTTCACCTCAAACAAGAATACATCATGAAATTAAACATGTAGGAAAGAAAACTAATTGCTAAATTAGACAAAGAATAGAAAAAAAAATCTTTAATTTATAAATTAGAAATCAGAATCATTATGGAAAACAAAATTAACATTAAAAACATTACTTTCAATGGCAAATAGAGATGACGCTCAAGCATTAAAAGATAAAAAACCTATTGATTATCATATGTTTCTTAGTAATAAATTAAACAAAAATTCTATTTTTCAATATAATGATCATATTGATACAAAATTTACTGCTAATAATAAACATACGATTGTACAACAATTTAATGAACAAGATTATCAAGGAACTCGAGTAAATAAAATTAAATCAAAACGAATATCTTTTCATATCGACTTTCATTTTTTTCTAAAGAAATTATATAAACGTTTATTGAATACAATGGGATTACGTAAACCAATAAATATTAAAAAACCTAAATCTATAACGTCAATCAAACAGATAAAAACAAAACATAGAAATAAAATGCAACCATCAAATAAAATTCAAGAAAATGTTCTTCTATCATCTGATGATTCTCTTCAATTTTTAACAAATACTGAATATGAAAAACCTATACTTATTACTTATCAAGCAGTACCAATCTCAGAATAATTTCGATAGTTATTTTTTTTTCTTTTGTCTTGTCTATTCATATTAATCTTTTCGTTTTCACTTTCATTTTCACTAGGACGTGACTTTGATAAGCTATAATTGATATGAATAAACATAATAGATTATTTTACACACAAAAAAAAGAACGAACTAGGCTTTGTCGACATCAAAATTTACAATGAATACCAGTACTAATACTAATGTTAGTCGAAGCAAAGAAATTGAAGAAAACATAAGTTCACTCAATGAAAATTTTCATGCAACAATCGATTCAGTTAATAGTCTTCAACAAACTTGTGCAAATTTATTATTGGATAATACAAAACATTATCAATTGAATGTATTAAATCATCTTGATGTTATTGAAAAAAAAGTTGAAAATTTCAATAATGATGGTATATAATTCCAATAATATAACAAAACATCTTAATAACATTTTTTCATATTTTATGTTCTTTATTTTATTCAATTGAAATAAATATTTCATAAATTAGAAAATCTTGTTTTATAAGCGAAATCTTTTTACATTGCACAATATTTATATCCTGTATTATTCTTTCTTACTGTTATTTTGATATATCTACAGATTAACTCCTACATCAAATAGATGATTAAGAATTTAAAACAACGCAATTAAAACAAAATTGATAAAAAAAAAAGAAACGTAATATAGTATCTTTCGTTAAAATCTGAATTACTTGACATATTCGTAGTATAATAATAATAAAAAGAAAAACATGATATTTATCAATATTTAAGAATCTTCTCTCTGTCTCTCTATTAAATATATCATTCGATTAAGTTTTATCAGTTTTGAAGTTATGCGAACTTATTTTCATATCATGACTTTTAGGACATCACATACATATATAAATACATATCAAGACAAGAATAGATTATTGCACGAAAATGAAACATACTATGCTTATATGAGACATAAGAAAGCTTTTGTAATGTATCCAGAAGATATACAATAGAAACATTCACTCACGAAAAAGTACATATACACAAGTTCAAAAAAAAAAGAAAACTATGCCTAAAGCATTTTTTTTTTCGTTCATATCTATAAATCGATAATGAACTTAATGTTAAAAAAAAAATTCAGATTCTAAAATAAAATTTTCAAACTCATAACGGTGTTTAATTACGAGTTACTTTGTTTTCTTCTAACGTCAAATTTTCTGTATATAATCAACACGATAAAATGTGTGTATCCATTTGTTGTTTTCTTTTGTCAATGCTATTTTCGTTAATCACTCGATCCATTCATCATTAATGATTTTTGTTCATTGACACATTTACGTCATGATTGTCAGATATTTTTTTTTTAAACTAGCAATGACAAGTGAAAGTGTTCTTCATCTCCAACACAGGTATGGGAGTCATTTGGGAACAAATACTGATCCGTTATCATTACAAGTATCATCTTATAAAAACGACGAATAGACACAGCAGGTATCTAAGTGTTAACAACGATCATCCCTCTTGTTATTGACGTAATCAAATTGTCAAGTCAAATGATTTTACATACATACATATATGTATGTGTATACTCCTCCTTTACAATATAGCAGTCCCTTTAGGCATAGTTGTGTCTACGATCATCATCAATTGCCATATAATTTCATATAAAAAAAAAACTACGCTGTTACAGTTCGTTAACTATATGTTGTTGTTGTGTACACTCTAATTAGCAATGAATAAGAACGAAAAATGCGAAAAAATGAAATTAATTTGACATTTAGACAAACAAAACAGGATTTTTCTATGTACAGGTATGATGATAGCGGCAAGTTTGCATTCACGTTTAGACATCGATCAGTCAAATACACGTACAGGTAACATGATTAAATGGTTAGATACTCTTTTATGAAGGAGAAAAAACGAACGGAAGCATTCATCATCTTTTTTTTTTGATAAATATCGTGCCGTTAATATGTTATGGATACCTCTGGTTACATACAGTCATTAGTAAGATATTTTATGTGTGCATCCAACCATATTTAGTGAAAAGATTGAATAACTAGTAAGCAGATTATAATATTATATAAACAAATATATTGATTGCTCAGGTTTTTTTCTCTTTATTCAATGATTTGTTTTTTTTTCCACTAGTTAAATCATACCAGTTAGTTTTGTGATTTATTGAAAATGACGAAAATTTATCTCCTCTTTTTTTTTTGTTTATTATAATGTGTGAACTATAAAACGTGAAAATATCTCTTCATAGTTCTTGACACATTCAATGTATCATCCTTTTTGGACAAAAGTTTATTTGATGTTTTTATTCAATTAATTGTACAGAAGAAAAAAATCTTCTTCGTTTTTTTTTTTTTCGAGTAAGTTTGATAAGTCAATGTTATCTTTAAAATGAATCAAAAATGAACTTCAAAAGAACATCTATTTATGTGTTCACTATTCTTAGACAAAAAATTGATTGGTTAAGGAAAAGTAGACAAAAAGAAAGAAGCATACTGAGAGAGCTAGAAAGAGAGAGAGAGAGACAGAGAGAAAAAAAAATCGGATTAATGATCAAGTCGCATCATTATCACATTCAACTTTTTAAAAATGTTGAATACCGATGAAAATTTCGATCCATTACAAAAGCATCAAAGGTAAAAATATCCTGCTGAAAACTTCTGTTCATATTCACATATATTACAGAAACGAATAATAAAATAAAAGTTCTTTTTTTTTCACACATAAATGATTAGCTTAATCTTGCTTTTGTATTTTTTTAAATATACATTTCTATTTCACACTTATTTATTCATTTTAGCAATATGGATCAACCACTTGATTTGACTCTATCAAATAATGAAATGATTAAAAAAAAGAAATTTACTATTGAATATTTAACATCAAATAATACTAATGAATATGAAACAACATTATTAACTAAACATAATTCTTGTTTAACGTATTTAAATCCATTAACTCCACCATTACATCCATTGGAAAATCAATTAAATCATAATTATAAATGTTTTTCTATTAATTCAGGAGTAAATGAACATATCGTACCAAATATTCGTAGTCCACCATCAACTGTAAGTATAAAAAAGAGAAAAGAAAAAGAGTTTTAGAAAAATTTTTTTTTTTCTTGTTTCTTTTAAATATTAGAATGGAACTTTAGAAATGGTTAATGGTGGACATGGAATTAAAAATCCTTTATTTGATTGTGCAACAGAAGCATTACAAATTCAATATAGTAAGTTCAATGATTTTTTTCCCAGAAAGAATAATTTAATTAATGAAATGATTTGTTACACTTAATTAATAATTTAGATTTTTGTGTTATGTATCTTCCTTATCGAAATAACATGAGTCATTAAGAATATATGAATTGTTAACTCATCATGATCACTTTTTTTTTTCATAATTAAAAGTTTTGGTAGAAAATCATAAATTCTCATGAGAACAACGAGTAGAGATTATAGGTAGATATTTAGTGAATTGTCTTTTATATTATACCCATCGGAATAACCTGTTGCGTTTCTTGGTTAAGTAACTAGAACAATGAAAATTTAAATATTCCATACAAACATACCTTCAGATTATTTTCTCAAGGCTAAGTTCACTTGAACTTGCTCTTACATGTTTCTAATAGTTAGAATCATTTTTCAGTATGTATGTGAATAGTATTGAAACAGCTATTTGAGAATTTTTAAGAAATATTCATTTTAGACATTATAGATATGAAATAAATTATTATATTCTGTCGCACTTATCTGATCGCTCTAACTTAGATCAAACACAGAAAACTAGAAATGATGTAAAGAGTTATCTGTGAAGAACGTCCAGGTAAAAATGACATATTATGGCTTCGTCTCCATATGTCTAGATTTGTCCAGTTTTGTCGACCTTCCTCTTCCTGAACATCCAGTAGAAAAAAAAAACAACTATCTAGAAAACGTCTGCTTGTTCAAATGTACTCCTCCGTTTTGATTAAATAGCACTTCATCAAATAAATATATCAAAAAAAGAAAATGAAGCTTTAATACCAACTGACTTGTCGAATTTCAAAATATTCCGAAAAGTGGTATGAAATGAAAGGAAAACATTCATAATAATTGTCTACACGTCCAGAAATTTTTGAGAATTCCTTCCTTCTATCCAGTTTTGATGCTTTCTCCCTTTATCTGAATGTTCCTTATGGATGACTACTAAATATTAAATAATGCAATAAATGGAAGGTTCACTTCTGAATATTGAGACTTACGTTGATTCTATTTTATTTGAAGATCACAGTAAAAATTTGATTTTTGTAGCTAATGAACTGAATCATGGTGAAGAATTTTTCTGTGGTTTATGTACAAAAAAATTTAAACTTCAACGACTATTAAATCGACATTTAAAAAATCATAGTCAAATAAAACGATATTTATGTACATTTTGTGGTAAAGGATTTAATGATACTTTTGATCTTAAACGACATACAAGAACACATACAGGTTATTAAGAAAAAAAAAATTTTTGTTTTTATTTTTATTAAACAAATATTTTCTTGAACAGGTGTTCGTCCGTTTAAATGTAATCGTTGTGAAAAAGCTTTTACACAACGTTGTAGCCTTGAATCTCATCAACGAAAAGTTCATGGATTAGCTCATAAATTTGGTTATAAAACTCGTCGAAATAAATTATATGTTTGTGAAGATTGTGGACATACATCAACTGATCCAACAGAACATTATGAACATATTAAAATCTTACATCCATATTCTACATTAGTGCATCGTCAATATGATAGAAGACAATTTAAATTTGATTCGAATTCATCATCAACATCATCATCCCATAATAATACAATAATTAGTGCATCCGAAAGATCTGTTTTATCACCATTTAAAATTGAAATCGATTCGGATTAGATATATATTCTTATATTTTCTTAAACTATTTAGATATGTTTTTCTTTATTAACGAGATTTCTTTTCTGTGAAATTTTGAATATATCTTTTCTTTTTTTGTTTTGATAAAATTAAATAAAAGATAATTGAAGTTATTTTAATAATATTTTTATGATTTTGTACTATGTCAAATTAATGAGAAAAATATCCTGTCAATTATTGAGACAAGAAAAAAAACGGAAGTAGATCTAGAAGAAAACAGAGTGCATACCTCGACATAAATCATTATCGATTGTTACTAGTATCATTAGAATCTACTGGAAATGTTAATATGAACTCATAACTTAAGCGATTGTTTGTGAGATTTTCTATTAAGTATTACAAATTTATAATCGTTTACATAGGTAAGAATTCAATTTTTTTTAGAATAGAAAAAGTACGTTCTTATTTAGAGAAGAGAAATATTAAGAATAAAAAAGATATCGATAAGTTTTTAAACTTTGCATATGAAACATATTCATGTATTAAATTTTATTAATAAATAAATATTTGATAATATTAGAAAGCTGAAATTTCTAACACACTTCTCGTTAAAGATAATCTAAAGTTTTATTTCAATGAGTTTTACTGAAAATAAGAACATTTTGATTTTTATGATGTAGTCAATAAATAGGATTAATACATGTACATGAGTTAACTACTAGAAGATAGACATAATATTACGTAATTTAAGGTTGTGTGGAGATGATGGAAATACATCTAATTACGAAACTTGAGATATTGAATGATGCCGATCTTTTCTTTCTCTTTACATTAATCATTTGAGAATGTGAATACAGTGTAAATTTTTTCTTTTGCGTTTTCTTTTCTGTTTCATGTTATTTGGTTATTGGATTGACGTTTTTCGTTTACTGAACGTTACAATAATCGAAATAAATTCTAAATGAGAAAAGAATAAAATACCGTTTTCAGAGTTTTTATAATTTACATAAAATTCAATTTCGTCGGATTTAGATTTCAATGTTCTCTAACAAGCGCTCTACTAGAAAACAATTCCTAATCTACGATGCAAAAATGATTGCCGAAATCTTCAATCATTGTTCTTCGCTTAAGAATATATTCCAAAGTAAATTGTTTTTTAATAAAAACGAACGATATCTGAACTGCAACGTTTGTATCAGTCATATAATGTTAGGAGAAAATAAAAAAAAATACTTTCATGGATGATTTTTTGTAGCCTAAAGAATAGTGTTTCTAATTGTGTATAGGAAGTTAAATGAACACATTGTTTGTTTTGAGAGAGACTGAACAGTTTGGTTATGCTCACTAATTTTTTTCTGTTAAATTTCTATGATCTGACGTTTTTCGAACGAATAATGCAAAACAAATCAACTTCATATATGGTTTCTGATGATGGTGACTGATATTCTTTCAATCCTTAAAAAAAATTCATTTTTCTAATCTTTTCGATGAAACAGTTAAGGATGGATCTAAAAATTTCAAACAATGTTGATATCGATAGAGCTTTTGATGTACTACATTTTTGTAGATTCTTAGATCATGTAGCCTAAAATAATCGAGAAATACAAATTTTCCAAGGTGCAAAAACTTTTCAGAGGTGTTTGGTTTTTATTTTTTTTTATTTGTCTCAGATTCATTCTGGAAAATATGATTGATTTTAAACTTTGTAGTTCTGACATTGTTCGTTGTAATACAAAAAAATTTTACTTCGCAAGATATTCGTAGACGAAGGCCTATGACTGAAGATTTCGGAAATTAATTTTGCATCATAGGTTATATCAACCGATAACATAGCTAAAATTAGAAATTCTAATATTTGACGAACGTTCGCAAATAACTAAAACATGAAAGAGATTAACTAGACTTATTTCAAAACATAAACATGCAATACTATTCCATAATTCTATATAATAGATTTTATAAAAAGAAAAGAACTTTTTAATCCGGATATTATGGTATTAAAAGTTCGCAAGGCCTCTTTTTGCGAAACTATCATCAATATTTGTATAAAAAAAAACACAGTCACATAGTTATTTGCATAGAATAAAGAAAAAACATTCTTTATAGATATTTTCAGTGAGTTTGATAAAAAAAAAAGAGAAAAAATCATGATTGCACTTGAAAGTCTTGTTCATATAAGAATACAGTTTAAATAAAAAAAGAAAACAATGATAATCAATGTTTATAAAAATGAACATGTTGAATAATTTTTTTCGAAGGAAGAACTGATTAATATGTAGCCATTTGAAAATAGTTGAACTATGATATGAAAGATAAAATCTCATTTTTTGAATTCATTGAAAATATTGAAGAAAATTAAATCTAAACTAATTTATCAAAAAAATATATTTCATAGCCTTTTTTTCTTCTCGGAAGATATTTTTACAATAATTCTTTTTCTTGCAGCAACAGAACAGAACAAAAGCGCAAGTAAGAGTCAAAGACATCGATTATCTCTAAATTGCTTAGATGTTTCTTGTATTGTTTTGTTGTATAACATCCTTTAACTTTATCGATTATTCTTTCAGCTTGCTCAAGAAATTATATTATATATAATTGGTGAGTTCCCTTCCGTTCGATTATCAATTTGTAAAGCTTATTTTGAAAAAAAAAATAAGTTAGTGCCATCTATTGAACAACAACTAAATCTTGTCTTAATTTGTTTCTTAGAAAAATATTTCCTATATGTTGAATAATTTTAATAAATATAAATCAATTTAGTTAACTTATTTCTAATGAATAAATCTTATGAGAAAATAGATATTTTAGTTGTTTGATTGGTTCCGCTAAATTAGCCATTGATATTCAGATGATTGATCATTCATTCATTCTTTCCCGAGGCATAGCTTGTTGAGAGATAATAAAACTATAAAAGTAAAACAATAAATAATTACCAAATTAGATTTATAACCTTTTGTACTGTGTGCTTTTTTAATCCTTTTGAATATTTAAAATAGAGGACACTATTGTGTTTATTAATAGATCAAATATCAATAGTCACATGAAATCATGAAAGCTTTTTTTCGTTTCATTTTAGATACAATAGAACAATGGAAGGACATAAAATAAAAACAAAATCAAAATTTAAAGTTCGTCATCAAAAACATAAATTATTTCGTGCTAATGAACCATTATTATCTATACTTATGTGGGGTGTTAATTTTACTGTAAGTTAATGTTGAATTTAAAATAAAACAAAAAAAGAAAAGAAAAGAATTTATTTTTTAGATTCATGAATTAGAAAATGTGAATATTCCTGTTATGCTTTTACCGGAACATTTTAAAGCTTATGTTAAAATTCGAATTGATAATCAGAATTTTAATAAGTATTTGAAATAAAATTTCAATTGATAAAATACAAAATAATAATATTGTTTTGTTTTTCTTTCTTTCTTTTAGGGAAGTTATGCCCAGTCATTTTAAGGTAAAGGAATATTGTCCACTTGTATTCCGTGCTTTTCGCGAATATTGGAAAATACATGATAGTAGTTTTCGTGTAAGTTTTATTTCAAAAACTATTCATTAGTTTTTAATGAAAATTTTTTCTGTCTTAGGATTCTTTAACTGAACCACCTATACCATTAAATGAAACAACTAAATCAAATTTAACATTGTATCAATCATATAATCGTCGTTTTATTCTTAAATGTATTGCAAAAGAAGATGTTGAACAAATACATAATATTTTACCAGAATATCATCGAGTATGTATTTTACAATATATTTCTTATCTTTTGTTAGAATTTTATCTACGAAAAGAATTATAACTATACAATATAAGAATAAGTTCTCTTATTCAATGATTCCACATAACTTGTAGTTAGATTAAAAGAACTTAATACTCTATTGATTTCTAATAAAATTCTTTCTTCAATTGAACGTACATATCAGCATAAATAATATAACAAATAAATTTCGATTGTTTGAGAAAATGTTAGCTTTTTTTAATAATCTATTACAAATTCTAATTGAATCTTAAATAGAACGAATTATCTACTTTATTGTTCTAATCATATAAACACGGAGATCTATAATAAGATTCTGAATATCTTTTTCTCACTATGATCAGTCGTTTAATACTTGCTATTCGGAATGAATATTTTCTATTGAATTTATATTTTAGTATATTGTTGAAACTCAAGGGGACACATTACTTCCGCATTATTATGCATTGTACAGATTAACAGTTGATGATAAAGAAAATTATATATTAGTTATGCGTAATGTTTTATCAACAAAATTAAAAATACATTATAAATATGATGTTAAAGTATGAAAAAAAAAACCAAAAGATAATTTATGATTTAAATTGAAATAAAACTTTTTTTGTTTTCATTCTTCAGGGTTCAACTGTTGATAGAAGTGCTACAGATAAAGAAAAATTAAATCCATGTCCAACATTAAAAGATAATGATTTTTTAGAAGGAAAACGAACAATTGATTTAGGTCCAGAACAAAAAAGAATTTTTATGGAAAGACTTAAACGTGATGTTAATGTAAGAAAAAAGGATAGAGTTTCTTTTTTTTTTGAAAAGAAAAAATTTGTTTTTTTTTTCCTTTTAGTTTCTTGTTAGTCAACATAAAATGGATTATTCATTACTTATTGGTATTCATGATCTTGATCAAGGTGGTGTTGGTAAAATAATATTCTTGACTTTTTAATTTATTTCATTTCATTTTTTTTTCTTCGAGAACGTGATCAAACCATATCGGCTGGTGAGATGAATACATCAGATCTATCTGGTAATGAGTCATCTGATGAATCTGGTACGATTATTTTTTATTATTAAAATTATCCACATATTTAGTCTCTTTGTAGAAAGTCCAGGACAAATTGGTGATGATTATTCATCTGATGAACCATTTACGATGCGAAGTGCAGAAAGTAATTTATTAGGCTGATATTCTTTTATAATAATCAAAATTTTAATTTAATTCTTTTTAAAAGCATCATCACGTCGTGAATTGTATAGTCTTGGTTTAATTGATATATTAACATA